TTTCTGAAGAAGGGTCTAGGCCCAGAACGTCAGCCTTCCTGCTCCTCTGATGCTGCTTGGCCTGCTGTGTTCATCCAGCTCTACACCTTGTTATCTCAGATTCTCCAGCATCTGCAGTTCCTACTATCAGCTGCAAGTCAATACCTTCTTCAATGACTAAATCTTCTGACACAGGCACTATTTCTTGTAATGAAACGTCCTCTGGGAGAATCGCCATTCTTCTGTGAGCGTACATAAAAATCCTAAAGGGAAAAACATATTTAAAACATGAAACAGCTTGTTTCAAAAAAAAAACGAGACAGTAAAGGGGCAGAACACTTTTACGATTCATTACCAGGATGTGGGCATCACTTACAAGTTTGCCGTTTAGTGCCCATCCTAAGCTACTTGACTTAGAGTCATACAGCAGGGAAATAGACCCTTTGGGACAAATTGTCCATGTTGACCAAGTTTCCCAAACTAAACCAGTCACTTTTGTCTGCGTTTGGCCCACATCTCTCTAAACCAATCCTATTCAGTCCAAATGTGTTTTACATGTTCTAACTGTACCGGCACCTACCACTTCCTTCAACAGTTCATTCTACATAGAAACCACCCTCTGTGTGAAAACATTGCCCATCAGGTCCCTTTTAAATCTTTCCCCTCTCACCTTAAAAATTTGTCCCTTAGTTTTGAATTCCCCCACCTTAAGGATAAGACCTTTGCTGTTCACTTAATTTATGCTCCACATGATTTTATAAGCCTCTGTAAGGTCATCCCTCAACCTCCTACACTCCAGTGAAAAAATTCCCAGCCTATTCCAGCCTCTCCTTATAACTCAAACTCTCCAGTTCTGGCAACATCCTGTTAGATCTTTTCTGAACCCTCTCCAATTTGACAACATCCTTCCTAAGGCAGGGCCACCAGAGCTGTACACAGTACTCCAAAACTAGACTCACCAACATCCTGTACAACATCAACATGATGTCCCAATTCCTATACTCAATGCTCTGAACAATGTAAGCAAGTGTGCTAAATACCTTCTTAACCACCCTGTCTACCTGCGATGCTACTTTCAAAGAACTATGCACCTGAACCCCTAGGTCTCCCTGTTCAACAGCACTACCCAGGGCCTTATCATTAACAATACAAGTCCTGCCCTTGTTCCTTTCACCAAAATGTAATACCTCATATTTATCGAAATTAAACTCCATCTGCAACTCCTCAGCCCATTGGCCCAACTGATCAAGATCCTTTAGTGACTCGGAACTGTTTTCAGTCGTTTGGTACAACAGAGTAGCTGGCTAAGCCTTTTTAGAAGGCAGCGAAGAGTCAACGACATTGGATGCATGACTGGATCATGCATAATCCAGATCAGGTGAGGCCAAGCAGGATTTCTTCCACGAAGGACATTAGTTGGGTTTTAATGACAATTGGCAGCTTTTTGGTCACTTTTATCTAAGTCCAGCTTTTTAACAGTGTAGGATCTTTATTATTAATTGAATTCAAATACTTCAACTGCCACAATGAAATTTGGATGTGTGTACTCTGGATTAATCTGCAGTAATTTGCTCCTACTCTAGATAAATTGTTCTGGAATACTTATCCAAATCATAAACATTAGTCTAATTAGAATAATGCTTCCTGAGATCAATCTTAGTTCAAACAATCGAAAATCAGTCACACCTCCCCGCAATAAATTGTCAGTTTGCTGGTGATGGAAACAGCTTGTAGGTAAAACATATAATCAAAACATCTTCTAATCTCATTGCAGAAGGTTAAAAACGTCTTCTTAGCAATAGGGAAGCCATCAAATATTTGGGACATTATTTCAATCAGCAAAGAACCTCTCCTATTAGAAGTCCAGGTATGTTTAAAAAAAACTATTTAAAATATATTTATTTGGTGACTTTTTGATGGCAATCTTTTTGTCAGTATCTTGTATTTAGTAATGCTGTCCCTGAGTGAACAGAGCTTGCAACATTCATCTTTACACCTTTCCCTGTATTGTATTAAGCAGCACCAAAGCACAGGGCTTGGCTCAATTATTATAATTTGACTTCATTCTAAGCATCAGCATGAAATGATCTGACAGATGATATTCGTACTGCAATATTGAAACAAGAAATTCAAAATAAACCACGGTCCAGAAATTATGAAATTTTTGACAGCAAACTGTCACACTTTCTGTCACCACCCCTCTGAAGCTGATCTCAATCACAACATTCAGCACAGCCAAAGATGGACATGGAAATCCTGAACTTGCAGTCTCTCATTCAGTGCTCTGTTCCAGGTTGCAGTGCGGATCCCTAACCTCAGCCAGTCAGCAATTCATAAGATCTAGCAAAAACTACTCCTTTAAAGTTTTTGAGAAGATTTGTAGCTTGGGTTATGGATGGGGTTGTAGACTTGCTCGCAGAGCCGGTGTGTTTGCTTGCAAACATTTCGTCACCCTGCTAGGTGATATTGTCCATGCGCCTTAGATGAAGCGTTGGCGTTCTGTCCTCCCTGTTATTTATATGCCTTGGTTTGCTGGGCTGGTGGGCATCACTTCCGGTTCTGTTTATCAGTGGTTTGTATATCGGATCCAGTTTAAGTGTTTGTTGAAGAAGTTCCAGTCAGAATGCCAGACCTCGTGTCTGGTTGGTGTTTGTGTACGGAGTTTTTAAAAGGAATGGATACTCAAAAAGCACAATCCGCCATTACCTCCACGACAGACCATAACAAGACGACACAACACGGCCAGTCACACTAGTGACCCTATCGTACATCAGAGACATATCAGAGATGACCATAAGACTACTCAGACCCCTCGGTATCAAGGCAACCCACAAACCAACAACCACCCTGCAACATCTACTGATGAGTATAAAGGATCCCATACCCGCAACCAATAAAACTAACATAATATTCAAAATACCATGCAAGGACTGTGAGAAACATTACATAGGCCAAACTGGAAGAAAACTGACAATAAGGGTACACCAACTAGCCACCAAGAGACACAACCAATTCTCACTGGTCTCAATACACACGGACAAAAGAGGACACGAATTTGACTGGGACAATACATCCATAATAGCACAAGCGAAACACAGACACGTCAGGGAATTCCTGGAGCCTGGCATTCCAACCAGAACTCCACCAGCAAACACACGGAACTGGATCCGATACACAAACCACTGAAAAACAGAACGGGAAGTGATGCCAACCACCCCAGCAAACCGAGACATTTTAATAACAAGCGGGACAGAACGCCAACGTTTCACCGGAGGCACACTGACGATGTTACCTAGCAGGGTGGCGAAATGTCTGCAATCAAACACACCAACTCGGCGAGCATGTCTACAACCTCAAAAACTATTCCTTCCCGCTCTCATATTACTGTGAAAAACCCCATAAAATATTAAATTTTCTTCAATGACAGAAGAAAGGTAGGTAATTAACTGCAGAGAATATATTACTATGAAAGGAAGAGGGGTAGTGGGACCAGCAGAATTTTCTTGGGAAGCTCACAAGGATAGGATGGGCTGAATGACTACAGCATAGAAGGAAGCAATTCTAGAAATTTATGTGCAGGATATTAAAGTGAGACCTTTTCCCGATATAGAAAAAGCATGCATAGAACGATAGTAGGAACTGTTATGGGACTGTTTCTATCTCCAAATATTATTCCCAAATCCTAAAATTTTAAAAATCCTTTAAAAGGATGTGGCATTGCTAGTTAAGTTAGCACTTATTACCCATCCCTAATTGCACTTTCAAAGTTGCCATTGAGCACTGCTGTTCATGAGGGGTAGGTACATCCATAGAGCTGGAAGGCAGTTCCAAGATTTGATCCAGTGACGGTGAAGGAATGGTGATATAGTTCCAGGTCAGGGTCATGTACACCTTGGAGATGAACTTGCCGGTGGTGGTATTCCCATCCATTTGTGCCCTTGTGGTGGTAAGGATTGTTGTTTGGAAAGTGTTGTCAAGGAGCTCTGGTGAGTTGCTCAGTGCATCTGGTAGATGGTACACACTGTCACCAAGATGTGACGGTGGTTCAAGGAGTGAATGAAGTACCATTCATGCGGGCTGTATTTTTCCTGAATGGTATCAAGCTTCTTGAGTCTTGTTGGAGCTGCACTCATCCAGGCAAGTGAATATTCCTAAATTGTGTCCTATCGGCAGGTTTTGGGGCGTTAGGAGATGAGTTACCTACCACAGAATTCCTAACACCTGAACTGCTCTAGTAGCCACAGTATTTAACTCGGCTGGGCCAGTTCAGTTTCTGGACAATGGTAATACCCAGGAAATTGATTGTGGAGATTCAGCAATGGTAATGTGACTGAATACCAAGGCAAAAATGGCTTGATATTTTGTTGAAGATGGTCATTATCTGGCATTCACGAGGAGAAAATGTTACTTGCCACTTATCAGCCCAAGAATGGGTATTGTTCAGGTCTTTCTGCGTAAGGACATGGACTGCTTCAGTTAAGTTGCTCGCTTATGACGTGATTCTAGGCAGTTTAGGTATAATTTGCCACTTATTATTAACTTTCAAGTATTTCGTTGTGGGATTGATGAGATTTTCAAAATAATCACCTCCAAACCCACAATTACTACCATTTAGAAGAACAAGGGTAGCAAATACATAGGAACACCACTGCCTGCATGGTCCTCTCCAAGCCACTCCAACATCCTGACTTGGAAATATAGCATCGTTCCTTCAGTGTCATTGGGTCCAATTTCAGGAACTGTATCCCTAATGATAATGCTGTTCTACCTACACCAAGTGAATTGCAATGGTTCAAGAAGGCAGATCACCACCAACTGGCAACAAATGCTAGCCCAGCCAGCATTGACTACATTCCATGTGTGAATTAAAAGGTATGTTCTCAACATAGGTGCTACTCAAAGTCAAGAATAATAACAACATTTTAAAAAAAGAAACTCACGCATATTCACCACTGCACTCCACAAGTCCGATAATACGGCTTTCATTCGATTCTCCATGTTGTATCGTGCCTTGTACCGCATACAAAAAAACATTAAGGAACAAACTGAACTAGAATCCATAGAATCCCCGACAGTGTGGAAACAGGCCATTCGGTCCAAAAAGTCCACACCAACTCTCTGAAGAGCATCCCACCCAGACTCACCACCCTACCCTATCCCTGCAACTCTGCATTTCCCATGCCCAATCCACCTAACCTGCACATCTTTGGACTCTGGGAGAAAACCAGAACATCTGGAGGAAACCCACGAAGACACAGCGAGAATGTGCAAACTCCTGCTACAAGTACAGTGAGTGGTATGCTTGCCAAATTAACAAAGTCCTAGCAACAATGCACCTTAAAATGTTTATAATCTGCAGGTAGAACAAGGTACATAATCTTGATCCTCCCATTCCACTGCAACCTTTCCCAATATTGATGTTAAATGGAGGAAACAGAATAGGGCAAGAAATATCCATATACTTTAGCATGACAAATTTGAGTTGATTGATACAGGTGGACTAACTTACTCGAAGTCAGAATTAAATAAGAATTCCAACGCAAGTACCTGCAGTCATCTATTTGACTGTCATTTAACCACCCCAGGGAGGGACAGAAAAAAAACACATCCTGCGGTGAAGCTAAAAATGACTATCATAGATCACGTATGTTACTGTACTGCATGCAAATAGAACGCTGCCTCTGGAGACAACACTGTAACATGGATACTATTAGTGAATGTTCTGTCAGAAACATAGAGGCTTGGGCCTCAACTATTAATGACTTAGATTGAGAGGGTTGAGAATAACATAGTCATGTGTGCTGACACTACAAACCTAAGTGGAAAAATGAGGAAGTACAAAGAGCCTGCAGAGGCAGGTTGGCTGAGTGCACAAGAACATGGCAGATGGCATACCATACGGTGAAATATAAAGTTAATCACTTTGGTGAGAAGAGTAAAAAACAGAATATTTTTTGATTAGTGAGGGATTGGCAAATGTTTACATTCAGGGCACACCAGAGAGTCCCAGTACATAACTCACAGAAGGCAGATATTTAGGAAGTGTGCATCCACATACTTTCTTAAATATTTTGACGGTTCAGTCTTTATCACCTTTGCAGGCTGCAAGCTCCATATTCCCACCACCTTCTGGGTGAAAAAGCTTTTTCCAATATCCCTTCTAAACCTTCTCCCCAATGCCTTAAATCTATGTTCCGTAATCATTGATCCCTCCACCAAAAGGGAAAAGTTTATTCATGTTTATCCTGTCTATGCCGCTCATAATTTTATACATCTCAAATCATGCCCCCACCCTGCCCTGTTGCGTCCTCTGCTCCAAGCAAAAAAAAAAAGTCTATCCAATCTCTCTTCATAACTAAATCTCCCCAACCTAGGCAATATCCTGGTAAATCTCGTCTGCACCCTCTCCAGTATTATCACATTGGTCCTATAATAAGGATTCCGGAACGGCGCACAATATTCTAGCCGTGGTCTAACCATCTTTTTATACAGTTCTAGCATAACCTCCCTGCTCATAAACTCCATGCTTCAGCTAATAAAGGCATGAATTCTAAATGTCCCCTTAAGCACTTAATCTACCTATCCTGCTACCTTAATGGACCGGTAGACATGCACACCAAGATCTCTCTGACCCTCAGTGCTTCCCAGGATTCTCCCATTCATTGTACATTCCCTTGTCTTGGTTGTCCTGTCTCTCTGCTCCTTCACACCTTGCAGGATACCACTTTTATTTTATACTGTATCTCCATGTTCTTTCTACCAAAATATATCATCTCACATTTTTCTTCATTGAACTTAATTTGCATACCATCTGCCTACTCCATTAACTTATCATTTTTTTGCGGTAACCCTCCTCATGGTTTACAATGCTTCCAAGTTTTGTATAATCTACAAACTTAGAAAATATCCCCTGCACAAAACAATCTATATCATTAATCTATATTAGGAAAGGCAAGTATCAAAACCCAAAACCAAAACCAACCCTTGGGGAACTTCACTACATGTCTTCCATCAACCCAAAAAATATCCACTAACTCTTTGTTGCTTATCCCTCAACCAATTTTTTTAAATCCATGTTGCTACTTACCCATTTACTCCATGTGCTATAACTTTTCTCCTAAGTCTGTTGCATGGCATTGTATCAAATGTCTTTTGGAAGTCCATATACATCACATCAAAACAACTCTCATAAACTCTCACTGCTACTTCATTAAAAAGCTACATCAAGTTAGTTAAACACAATATACCCTTAAGAATTCCATGCTGGCTCTTCTTAACAAAACTACATTTTTCCACGTGATGATTATTTCTATCTCAAATAATTGTTTCAAGAAGTGACCCCAAAACTGAAGTTAAACTGACTAGTCTCTAAAAAGAACTAACATTTGCAATTCGCTAGTCATCTGGCACCACCCCAAGGCCAGGAAGGATTGAAAGATACTTGCCACTTCTTGACAATTTCCACTCTCACTTCCTTTGATATCCTTGGATTCATTTCAACTGGTGCATTATCAATTTTAAGCAAAACAGACTAACCAACCTCTTCTCCTTATCAATTTTAAACCCCTTAAGGAACTGAGTTTCCTCCTCCGTCACCAGGATTTCGACTTCTTTCACAAAGGTAAATGCCGAGTATTCTTTTAACACCTGAGCCAGCATGTAAATCCAATTTTTAGTCAATAATCCTCCTTTTATCATCCTTTTTCTATTTATGTGCCAACAGGCTTTGGGATTTCCCCTTAGTTTAGCTGCAAGTTTTTTTTTCATAATCCCTTTTTGTTATTCTTACTTGCTTTATCATATCCCTTTTAAACATTTTGCATTCAGCTTAGCTTTCAAATGTATTTTTGACCTGACATTTGTCTCAATTTCACTTATTCTTTTTTATCTTAACCTCTAACTCCTTTATTATCCAGGGAGCTCTGGATTTGTTTGCCCTCCAGGGAATTACGAGGCTACACCTGAAGTTCTACTTGAAGTTTTCTGACCAAAGGAAGGTTATCACCCTAAAGTTGTGTAATGAAGGCTGACTGGACCAGTTCTGAGGATGAAGGGATGTTCCTTGTGAAAAGATTGAGTGTATTAGATTTATGATAGATAGAGTTTGGAAAAATGAGAGGTGACCTAATTGCAGCACATAAAACTCTAAAGGTTTGATAGGGTGGATATTTAAAAATGTTTCCCCTGGCCAGGGAATCTGGAACACAAGATTACAGACTCAGGCTATGAAGTTGAACGTCTCGGACCGAGGAGAAATTTGTTGAGATTGGTTGGCTTGCCGAGCTGATTTGTTTTTTTGCAAAACAACAAACCAGCTCGGCCAGCCAACCAACCTCAACACCCACAACCCGAGCTACAGATCTACTCCAAAACCTTATTTGTTCACCAAAACATTCTTGCAAATTCTCTAGGCCAGAGATATGGACGCTCAGTTATTGGATGGCTAATTATACAAAATTAAGATAGTTAGATTTTGGGGTATTAAGGAATGTGGCAATAGTATGGGAAGATGGAGCTGAGGTATATTAGCCATGAACTTGTTAAATGGTGGAACAGGTTCAGAGAGCCAAGTTGCCTCATCAAATATTGCATCTACTTGTCCTCTGAATCCTAGCTAGACCAAGAAGCAATGGAGGGAGCTCCTTGAGAGATTAAATCAATGAGGAAATGGTATGAGAAACATCTAAAAGCAATATACCCCTTACAATTTATTTACACTAAGATTTCACCTTTATGACTTGAGCTAGTGTAACAATTATTAGCTTAGATCTAGCACTTTTGGGAGGGTTAGGCCAAGTTGTGCCTGGTCTGACAACTTCATTGCACCACTACTCACAAACCTCTGAAGAGGATTTGCAACTGCACATAGTAAATCGCCGGAAGAATACATCCCAGCACCATCCAACAACGTTCTGAGGAAGGGTCCTGACTTCTCTCTACAGATGCTGCCAGACCTGCTGAGATTTTCGTACCATCTAACAACACTCAAACAAAGGCGCCCCAACCCCACAAATAAAAGCTCTGGAACCCAACGTGAGAGACATCTCCCAACATACTGGGACCCTGCTGGACTCTTGTCCCTCAGTTTAGAGGAGGGCCTGCAGAGCGTCGAGCCCATTCTCTTCCCCCACGACCACGTACTCAATCCCCGTTCCAGCTATCACTCGAGGTCGAGGTTTCTGTTGGACGAAGGCCCGGAAAAGTCCTGAAGGATACTGTCCGGCAGCAGTGCCCTGGGGCCAGAGTCTCCTGCAGCACACCCGACTGGTCCATGGCAACCGGGGAGAAAGGCTCCTCCTCCCTGGCAACCGCCGGCTCCCTGGTAACGGCGCGTGCCCCGGGCTCCTGCCGACGCTGCTGCAGGGCGGCGGTCGTGCAATCTCACCCCCTTGGACGGGTGCAAGGTTCCTCTCTCCCCAGCTGGGCTTCGATTCCTGCTGTTTCTCCTTCCCTTCTGTCGTTTGTATTCCCCCCCCCGGTTGTTCCGCGACTCCCTAGTTTTGCTTTGGTTCGCAATCGCCTTCCCCCCCACCCCTCCGTTATTCCTTTAAAGTCCCTTTCGTTTTTCTCCGCTGTTTTGCTTTGTTTGCTCGGCTCACTTTGTTTTGTGATGCCCCCTTTTCTTTGCAGTTCTGTTGCAATCTTTCCCGTAGCCTCCCACTCTGCTTTTTTTTCCAAAAGCAGCGCTTGTCATCAGACCCTGTCTCCACCCTCTCCCATTGACAATCCGGCGGACAGCTCAGGAGACTGCCACGTTTGATTTCAAATGTCAAAATCTCTGCTTCTGTGGCTCAAATCGGATATCTTTTCCCCGAACTCTTTGCAAATCCCAAATAACCCATCGCACTCCGTTCACAATTTGCATTCGAGAACACCCTGCTGTGAAAATGTATCCGTGTATTGCTTGCAGATGTTATGTTTTAAAGAATGAGGACCAACAGGATTTCGATACGTGCTTGTCTCAAAGTGGAAAAATATTGCACCATCCCGTTCGGATGGACAAGGTGTCGCAGTTGGGGAAAGAGAGCATTAACCTGTGGGCCAAA